ATTGAAAATGGAAATTTTCTTGAGTGAGAAACTGAGATTTATACTGCTAGACCGAAGCACCTTGTTAACATACATGAAATCAGACTAAGGGTAGACTGTGGTTTCTAGTGTTGGAAGTAGTATGTTCAGCTTACGCAAAACAAAGTGATTGGCCGTTTCTCTCAACGGTCAAAAATAAACAAGACCTATTAGAGCCAATTACTGTGTTCAAAATTTTAACTGCTGGAAATGGGCATCTACCTCCGGATCGTTCCACTAACTATCCTGTGTGCTTGTGAAACTTATAAAGATCTGTTGCAAATGAGACATTTTGTTTTGTGTATGCCATTTCACCGATACCGTTACCGTTGTACGCAATAAATAACTATCTTTGTTCTGGCACCGCCTTGTGGAAGTATAACACTATTAGGAACTGAGATGTTTTGTGCTGTAGGAAAAAGGGTTCGTAATTGGTGAACACTCTCTCTCTCTCTGTGGTATATGATTATGTAAGAGCTGTGAAAATCGGGGATACGTACCCTTATGGTTAAAGTGTGCTAGGATAATATGCAATTTTGCGTTGACAGTAAGGTAGTAAAATATACAAATGAAGCAAAGAATGATGTACTATCAAGCTGCCTATGATAAGGGGTTATGTACAAGCTAGTTAACTTTGTGCCACTAACATGGAAAATCTTTGGGCGAAATTGGACGACGGTATACTCAACAGGATTCAAACAGTACTGAGAAATAACTCTCTCTTTCCCATATCAGGCGATAATGACATTTATAATAACACCATCACCAGTCTCGTTTTATCGGTTGTTCGATCCTGTTGATGAGCTTGATACTTGAGTGTCTTGTATCTCCGAAGCAAATAGGGATTCTTGTGCACCAGTGCTCTTTTTATGCGCGACCGAACAGCACTATAGTTATATCCGGCCTTTTTGGAAACACTGACCATTGAAGAAGCAGTCATCTTGGTCAGGAGTATGCAACTAACAGCAATGAGCCAACCTTCGCGCTTGCAATTTTTCGGTTCAAGCTAGACGGTGTGAAACTGGAGTCTCACAGGTCGATAAACGATCATTATATGCCATGGCGGGTTCGAGACAAATTTTTCGATCGTTTTAGTAACAAAGATGTTTGGTGCCGATGGAAAATGTGACGAGTGTGCCGGAAAGCGAATAAGGGTATCCCAGGCAAATGAAGAACACCCTTTATAATCTTCAGTACCGGGCTGTTGGAGATCAGAACAGTACTTTTACGCTATGTTTTCCAGCATTTGTGCTCGCCATACTAAAAGTGTTCGAACAGTGACAACTAACGCTTTGCATCCAATTGTTTGCGATTACTGTGGATCATGTCGTTGATGGAAACATGATCTTTTTTGATAGAGGCCTTTTTTATTCGTGTATTAAACTATATGGGCATTTCCTTTTGTACTTATTAGAAGCGATGTTTCGGCTTTTCTTCTGTCAATGATGATAATGAACAGACATTTAGCTCTGAATTCTGTGACCTGCCACTGGAGTTTGCGATATAAACTGCTGTGCCTAGATGCGGTTGATACTCCCTCATGACTCTGATAAATACCATAAACGGTTCGATTACTAAATATGGAGTCGTGAAATTCTACTGTTTGACCTCTGGGTTGTTATTTGTCTGTCAATTCTAAGTCATGATGTTATCAAACAAGAACGATATAATATAGTCATTCTATGCGAACAAACTGTCCCTAGACAGAACAAAAGATATATTCAGATGTCCCTGGTTCATTAATATAACTTTGTCTTTAGTATTCCATATAACTGTAAGTTACTGCATATTCTAAATGAAAATTGAACTATTGTTTCCGTCCAATAATTCACAATTCCTACAACTCATCGCTTGAAGTAGCTTAATGCAATTTGTGGTTATTATTTAACTACTCATGAGTAGTACAAATAGTTTTTGCAAGAGTTACGATGAAGCACAATTATTGCTCAGTTTCATGAAGTTATCCATCGAAATCCGGCGATCGGCAGAATCCAGCGCACAATTTGTAAGGTAGACTCAAGGAAATTGTGATCACATTGCAGCAGTGTGTAAAAACACGGGTATACCGTTACGGGTCCCGCCATAGGCATCCCTACATGGGCCACCTAACAACTATTTTGTTATTTTATTAGTTTTTATTGAATACAGAATTGTAATGGCACTTTTCAAAACAGGTGCAGCGGATAATCAAAGTATTGGCTTGTAATGCAAAGATGATAGGGTTAGACGGCGATATTGGGGTTCGATCATACGACTCCGATAAACACTGGCCATAACCAACGTTGTCATGGATTTTTGCTGTGATCCATAGTGTGAATGATACAAAAGAACTCAGTCTGTATTCAGGTATGCGCGTGCAGGCATTCATCATTATGAAGTGGCCACTATTTGTTCCACTCGCCAGATTCTGATGTTATAATTCCTTAAGACTGTGGTGAAATATGGAAAGTTATTTATTGCGAATACCTGTAAGGGTATCGGTAAACTGGTATACATACAACAGAACGTCTCATTTAGAATTAGTCCTCAGAATTCCCACAAGCACACAGGAGAAACACTGGAACGATTTGATGGTAGACACGCTTTCTGAGCACAGTAATTCGCTCTAGAAGGTGTTGTTCATTTTTGACCGTTGGGAGAAACCGACAATCACGTTCTTTTGCACAGTCGAAGCATACTACTCACAACATCAGTTGTCTTCCAGTTGTGCTAAGACTATGATTGATCACCTAGCTGGAGGCCTGGAGTCCAAAATGCACTTGAGAGACAGCAGTTCAGTGTTTATGATCGTCCATACTCGTGCCACATATGAGGAGCTGAAATATACTTATGAAACTACTTCTGAAGTACAAATACCCTACAATTAATATATTAATGGGGATGTTTACCACGCTTATTCATCAAACTGTTGATCAATAAGAGCCAAATTTCTCAATGTGTGCGTTTATTTCCGTTATGAGTTCGCACTGTCTCATTGTCTGCAAAATTCCGCACCTATTGATTTTATACATTTCTGGACGAGGAATATATCGAAGAAATGTTGAGTCATATTCAATTCATTCTTAGGTTTCCTCTTCATGCACAGTCCTCAGTCGATCCAGGCAACCATGAGCCACGGAAGCACTAGGCTTATAGTTTTTCACAAGTGATGAGCTGGAACAAGAGCGAAATGCAAGTCTAGTGATTCTTCGGGATACGGTTGATTGGATGAACTTAGGGTTCTGCGTACAGATGAAGTTTGAAGGATTGCCCGTCCGAATGGATGTTGATTCCAAAGCTTTGATGACAAAGACATCGACACATGGTTTGTGGGTGGACTGCCGTTTAGTCAGATCACCCAAAAGAAAGTAAACGATTTCGGTATTCCATCTCATGTTTAATGGATCCTAATTGTGAATACGACGTAGGCGAACATATGTTTTCGGTTAATTCCTTTTCAAGCCTTTACAATCGCATTTATATGAAACAGAAAGGTGGACGAGTCATGTGTTTGGCAATGAGCCCAAGAGAACTCCAAATTTGAGCGCTCTTTGGATCACATAACCACAGTCGTTATGTCATGATCATGTGGACAGGCGATTTTCTCTTCCCTTGACCAAGGGAATTGGAGCGCTTGAATCAATTTTCGTTGTGCGCACAGCTTAGTCTTCATGAGTCGGATGGTAATCGCCTCTGCGGTTGGTAACGTCCCAAACCGTATCGCTGTCGAGGGGTGTGGTGAGACTCGATAGATGTTCACAATTGCCGAGGTCATGTCAACCAAGTGTCCCGTCTCTAACATATGAGCAACGGTCGAGCTTGACACAGCTCCACTCCCAGCCAGCGTGGATTGTTCTTTGAGACGGGACGCTTGGTTGACATGCCCTCGGCATTTACAATCATTTATTGAATCTCACCACATCCCTCGAGAGTGATACGGTTTCGGACGTTACCAACCCCAGAGGCAATTAGCATCCGACTCATGAAGTCTGAGCACAACGAAAGTTGATCAAGCTCTCACACTCCCCTAGCCAGGGAAGAGAAAATCGCTTGTTCACATGACCATGACGTAACGACTGTGGTTATTTGATTCAAAAAGCGCTCAAATTTGGAGTTCTCTTGGGCTCATTGCCAAACACATGACTCGTCCACCTTTCTGTTTGACCGTATTGAAATTGTTTCCTATAAATGCGATTGTAAAGGCTTGAAAAGGAATTAACCGAAAACAAATGTTCACCTACATTGTATTCTTAATAAATGGGGATATTCCGTGATTTTAATTGTGCTTGTACAACAAAATCCATCTGCAATCACCTTGTCAGTCATCTCGGTAGTGAGCTCCACTTTTGTGATTGCATCCAGTTTGTTTTTAACTACTACGAACAACAATCTCCGGAGTAGTTTTTTACTGTCGTGTTAAATGCGGAATTTCTTTTGACAAAAACTCCTTTATTTGGCAAAACAGTTTCTGGACATTCTACAAGTAAGTCATATTCAACTGTCAAATAACCCGTCAGCGGGGAAGCCTACTGGTTCGCGAAATCTACCGCCGCTTACGGAAATCCTCACTTTGTATCTGATCATTCTAACTGTCTATGCATGTTTTCCTTTTTCGTTCAATTGTTCATTGTTTCATCCGGTACTAATGTATCACCCTTTGACTGTTGTCCATTCTGTTGTCATCCAACTATGTGTTTGTGGTGNGTGATCGGTTCACTTTTGTGTTGTGTTTAATTTCCGTTTCTGTCCCTCACTCACTTCCCTTCATACATATCTCACGGCTCGCTTGCTATTATTCGGCTCGGGTTATGAATGGGCCGGAAAACTAATGGTCGTGCTTCCATCCAGCTACACACCTTTGGGGACGAAGGCGTGTCGATGAGGACAGGACTCCTGAGCAAGATGAGATAGCTTCTGTTATTCATCCAGTCGTTCCCCAGCTCATTCCATCCACCTCGTTGGACGAGGAATTTGTTGTAAATCCAACAGGAAGACCAAGAGGCATGTATGGTGGGAAAACGGACGCCAAAGAGGAAGATGACTTGCATAGGTTATCCGGTGTCCTGGGCCGACCGAAGCATGTAATGCCTCCACAACCGCGATCGAGCTATCCAAAAAGATTTGAGCACAAATCTGGAGACAAGTCAGAAAGACTTTCTGTTCATGGGGATCAAAAAGAAGAAAAACGAATTCCATCATCCAAGAAGCCTGCGACTAGCGATAAGCATTTCGTGTCTCCCACAAAACTTAAGATATCTTCGGCACCGACAGAACAGCAGTACCAATATAATGAAGCATCGGACAAATCCACAAAGTGGTTGGAAGATAGGGACACGAGATTTGATGACATATCGGGGAAACATCATCCGCAGCATGTTTATGCACAGGGTCTTACAACATTCGCTGGACATGAAACCATAAAATTTGGTGAGGGACAAAATGTAGGTCAAAAATATCTCGACCTTAGGCATCGAGAACACACTTCTAATCTTTCCGAAAAAAAACTGGAAGAAGAAAGTTTTGAATTGTTAGCACCCCAGCCGTTCCGCAGTCGACGTTCAACTCCAAGTCCAACTGTACACGAAGATAGAAAAGCGCAGAGTATCACCCACGAATCGAGAATAGAGTCACGTTCCATTTCTGTGCCCCCTGTTCCCATCTCTCGGGGATCCCCAATGAATACAGCAGAATCCAAGCTGATCCGTAGACGATCACACTTAGATAAGCAGTTGGATGAGCAGATTGATAAGGTATATTCTGAGGAGCTGGTGCGGCGAGCCAGCTTATGTTCGGAACACGGTCCAAGTATTGATCGGGACAGTTCATCTGGATTGAGTGCATTGGCTAACTACGAGGAACAACAACGTGCAAGGCAGATTGAAGATATGCTGAACATAGAAAGATCGGGGAAAAGATCTGCCACCACCCAGCCCATAGGGTTCAAAATTCCGGACGAAAAACGGGGACCCTTCAGAACCAGGAAACTATCTAGACCAACAGAACCGTATAACTCCGACATTTCTCAACCCATACAATTTAAAGAACGTCAAAGAGAACGGGAAGAGAAAGATCCCAAAGAACTTTGTCAAGTCGGGAGTAAACAACCCATAGAAAAGAGTGACTCAAAACTAGCACCCGGTACAAATTTTGATCGTGGAGATACCAGAAGAATACCAATAAACCGGTCCAGTTTCGCACCACACTCGGAAATGGATGATCAAATTACTGATAAAGTTACCAGCGAGATAAAGGATACGACTGCTCCCACTAGACCGAGTAAATCAAAACACATTTTGACTGACCAGTCCGAGTCAGCTCTGCAGTTACCAAAAAACCAGAACAACAAAACAGAGACCAGAAAGAAAAGGAATATGCCAAAAACCGATGATTTAGAAACTCACAAATCTTCTCCAGCGACTAGCACTAAATCGAAGGAAAAAAACAGCAGAGAAGAATCAACCAAAAAAGAAATAGAGAGTTCCCCTCGAGATCCCGAAAATAAAACTTTTTTGGATGATAGATTGATACAGAAGAAACGCAGCGAAAGGCCCGGAGAAGCTGGGGATGTGGTTAAAGGAGACAGACTGAAGCTAGAAGAACATCTCGAACGAGCTGGACTGCATGGACCTAACCCTCCGCTATGTGGGCAGGAGAAAGTGGCCCAACATGACAATCAGATGAAACGAAGTTCCTTAGATGCAACCAAATCCAAACGACTCCGCAAAGGTAGCGAAAGCCGAGAGCAAGATAAAAATAAAGAAATGATGGACTTGGGGCGGGATAAAGGACCTCCTCCGATAACGGTGAGTGAGAAAACAAAATCATCTGGTCCGGATAATTTATCGGGGAAACCGTCGAAAATGCGCCCAACCAAGCCAACAGATAAGACGGGCATAACGGAACGATCTGCCCCAATTCAGTCTAGTTCTAAACCTAAATCAGATCAGATTAAATCGGCGGAACTGACGACCATGAAACGTCGAGCATCTATCGGAAGTAGACCAGACAAAACAGGTGAATCTGAGGGAAAATCAGAACACGCGAAAAAAACCCTTGCCCGTGATCCGTCATCTAAAGAGTCATCAAGCATCAAAAGTTCACGTAAAGATGACCAAGTGAAAAGAATGAGCGGTCCTCCAGAATCAGGTGACCAAATGTTTATTTGTTGTGTTCGTTTCTCGCACTGGCCTTCGTCTTGTTTCGTTTAATTTTTGCAATTACTAATCATTTATTAACATGCTTTCGATGTTTGGTTAACATGAATTGTTCGTTTGTGTCAGCTATTTCACATCTACCCATCCTGTTTTTTTATAGTCGTTGTGTGACTTTATCTGTTGTCTGACTAAAACTTGACAGCATTGTCGCGCTTTCCTATTTAACAACACGTTTTTGTTCACAATTTCCAAGGTTATTATTTCTTTAACCGCAGATTTGTAACAACTCTTTGAACATTACCATTTTTTATATCATTCTTTTGATACTTGTAAACTTGAAGGTGTAGAAACTACTTAGAAGGTTAATCTCCGTTGATCTTTGCAAAGTACCATATTTTCTCGGAAAAATTTGATTGTAAAATAGTGTGCATTTCAAGTCAGGTCAAGTTAAGATAAGTAGTATGCATCCAGTTGGTAAATTTGCGATAGTAGATGTAAGTTACTGCACTAAGCGAACTATACTAACCCATTGCTCTAAAAGTTGTAGGGTGGGGGGAAGAGCTGGTAAACATTTTTTTTAACCTACAATTATTGTTTATCATTAAAACTGTACACCGTTCCAGCATAGAACAAGTAAGATGATAAACCCTGTTGTTCCTGTAAGCATTGTAACAAACAGATAAAAAGTTAGACTTGGAACACATGCAATCGTCTGACCCAGGTTTCCATATTTCGACATGCGAATAATGGTTTGTATCGTACAATGTTCTATCAATAAACTTACTTCAGATATCAAAGTGCTTGCTTGCTAATAGAGAAAATCAGCCAAAATAGGTTACTCCGTTGCATCTGGAAAACGGGCTAATGCATTTCTCTCTTACTGCTCAAAAAGAAAAAATAATAAAGAACAACACGGCCATCGGGGAAGAATACATGAATTCGCGAATATAAAAATAACTTTCATTCCAACATAAGAATCGAGTTTGTGGTATAGATTACTCTTTCCTGTTTTTAAATGAGTCAATTCACTCAAATATGAACCGTTTGGTGTGCACTTGATTCCTATTATTCTCTACATATAGTTTCCTCTGAATATAGTAGTGGTAGTAGGCATTTTTCGAAGCGATCAGTAGTTCAAGTCCATGGATTTGACACATTAAGACAAAAATCGATATGTGTGTCGTGACCCGTTAGGCTCCCTGGCTGGGAACCTTGGGATGATGGTCACCGATGGTTAGAGACACTGAGTGATATTGCTGGGTGTCGCAAACAGTGGCGCCCATGCATTCAATCATTATTCCCCTAATACCATTCTATATGAATTCTCCATCTTTCGGTTGAATTTGGTTTCAACATTCCAATCTTCATTCTGCTCTTTTATCCAAATGGGGTACCAAAAGACAGTAACCAAAACCGGCGCACTAAAGTACATGGTTAATGGTTGTAAAAACTGAGCTGAACTGTGTCGTCCAGTCCTAATCACTATCTCCCTCATGGTATTGATAGCTTTGCTTAGTCATGCATGGAAGAGAAACCACTACCGACGTATGCTGTACGTGCAGACCTCGCATGAATCGACTGGTGCATGTGTACTCATTAGACACTTCAGGAGGACTGTAAACGCGCTCGACGGAATAATCCTCGCGGTCTCATGTCTCAGCTTGTTGTTGTTTCGGGTGGATACTGTGTGACACTAACTTGTAAGTGGATCTACAAAAAGACGACATATATGTCACTTTGTGGCTGGAGCTCCTAAGAACCTGGTAGGGAGTGCATCGTTTGTACGATGTTTTAACTCGTGACTCGTGTTATGTAATCAGATATATTCAAGTTAAATCGGATGCGGGGATCCCATGATCAACTACCGCCGCAGATGCCGCCGAGAAGTGAGCACTGCAATGCACATCAAATAGTTTTTCAATGTTTCAGATGAGCCAACATCTAATTTATGGAATAACTGCAACATGTTTTGTTCGCCCACGTGATTAGTATGGCTAAATACTGATTAAGTTCGAAGGACCGTAGTGCAGTTTAGATGTTGGCCAAAAGGAAATTTTGCTACATGCATATTCTGCACTATCAGCAGAGTAAATATCGGTTCCTATAAATGCAAATTTGGGGTGGGACTGATCGTCAGTTTATGTTCCAATCCATTCTAGCTACAGTAAAACCGACATAACAGTGCATCGATCATGCCTTTCCGCTCAATAATCGATTGTTGAACAAAACAATCAATAAATCCTGTTTACTTGCCACGCTATCCAGCAGTATGTGAAAGACCTTATCCTGAATGTGAAGCGCCAGACAGTGGGTGCATACCCAACATGAACAAACGCACCTGGGTTCACCACGGTTCTCCATCAGCCCAGACGGAAAATGACACAGTTTCCGGACATGGAAACGTTTGTGAACACCGAAACGGTTTCACTACGAGCATTGTTTCGCATAGCAGCGGAGTTCATGTATGTTTCGCGCTTTTCATTTGAAAATTAAGGCACCACTGATACAGTATATATATATATATATATGTTTAAAAATAATACTCAGGTGTAGAGAAAGAGTTAAAAAAAACGCCTATTTACTTCCTTTTTCTACTTATTAAATATACAAATGTATATATATATATATGTATGTATGTATGTATGTATGTATGTATATATGTATATATATATATATATATATATATACATAGTATCTGAATGACTTGATGAACTTGTCCTTTGCGGTTAGTTGAACCTCACTTAATTGAGGTGTCCGGCGGTGGTGGCCAAGTGGTTAGGTCGCCAACTAGTGATCTGGGTGTCCCGGGTTCAACCCGCTCCACTGCCGCCCGTCTTCACTATGTCTGTATTTTCACAGGCAGCCTTTGTATGGCCGCAGCCCCCTTCCTGAAGGTTGACTGTACATTTGTATATTTAATAAGTAGAAAAAGGAAGTAAATAGGCGTTTTTTTTAACTCTTTCTCTACACCTGAGTATTATTTTTAAACATTTTGTCAATTGTGCCTTTCAAAGTCAAAAGTGTATGGACAATCTCATTTGGTTCAAAATAAACGGTACTATTCGAGGGAAGTTCTACCTCAGTGGAATTCTCTCACTAGATCATTGAGGATTTAGGTTGAACCTGCTCATAAAGCGAGCAGTTCTGTCAACATTCATGCTAACCAATTTATCGATCTATCTTGAAGTTACTCGTTCGCTCACCTGCTTGACCGATGTCAGTTCATTTCAATTCAGATTTAGTGATAGACCCGGGCATAGTGTGACGGCCGAAGCTTCGTAGAATGAGACTGCTCGATTCACTTGCAATTCCGATGGATTCATTTAAAAACAGTGTGTTGATCAGAATCGACTAGGCGAGCTAATGATAGAATCGATCGACTAAACGCAGATCTAAAACCAGGTCAAGCTGGCTCACAGACAAATAGTCTGGAAGTGTTGAGCACGTGCACTGTCGATATTCCCCATTCCCTGGTTTAATTATTCCTTCCTTCTATGATCTCTTTCGCTCTTCTTCAACTTTTGATCTGAAGCAATGCCGTTGTGCACTGCACTCCAGGTTGCTATTTGCCTGGAATCCTTTCAGTTTTCTCGAACCGCCATTAAACACACCAGCCTGTTCAGATAGTACTGATTCCATGTCCACTGTGTCTCGAAATGCTCCCATCAAGTCATGCGAAAATAAGTTGGAGCACTCGTCTGCTACAACATAGATTACCATGTATCTGCACACGCACGTCACATTTGCTAAGTACAGGATTATTTGACCTGTGTATATTTTCAACGTGGATTGAATGGACACCCCAAAGTTCAGTGAACACTTCATTCGGGTTTAATATTGTCACCAATGTGTAATGCGTCGAAATGACACTAGCCATCAATCAGGAAGGAACTGAATACTTTGAATAGTTTCATCTCATGAGATTCGATAAGTGCAGTTTGTGCCTGAAGCACAGGTAGCAGCTCGAATTAGTTTATGAATGTTCTTTTCCATCGAATCCATTTCGGATCGGATGATGAAAGCAAATACAGCATAATTGGTGCGTTATTCCCATCGCCAATATTGTTAAGACCAATCTCAAGGCGTATTTACAATATTCTTAGAACCTCGTAACCCAACAGAGAAAATCAAGACACACAAGACAGCATCCTGATCGGAACCGAGACGAGCTAATGATAGTTTTACTAGAATCAATAGCTTTACCGCCATCTAAAACTAGATCAAGCTGGCTCACAGACAAACAGTCTGGAAGTGTTTAACGTGTATTATATATATATATATATATATTTGAACGATCAATCGGAACGGACGGACGAGTGTTTACGTAGGAGTAACTTTGACGAGAATTTTGATTCATGTTCGTTTATGTGTTTGTTGTCATTCCGCTTTTGCTGAATTTGTGAAACACAAGGTGGACGCAACCCTCTGGTGACCGCCAAATATAAACGAACAGCTAGTCACTGGAGTGTATGTACATCTCCCACTGTCGAGAAAAAGTTGTTCTGAGGGATCTCTGATCATCCCGGCCTTGGTCTGCTTGAGCCAACTCTCTAGGACTGCATGTTAATGATCGAAAAAAAGAGAAAGCGTTTACTCATTCAGGTAACCCTGCGAGAGTAAATTCTATCTTTCGTCTCGAAAAAAGCACCTTGAACGTTACACTATGGAAAAGTGATACGTGAACTGACACATCGCTCCTAGATGCCATCTGGTCGTGATGACATCAAACTCATACGATCGAACAAAGCCAAAGAATGAGTATTTGTGGCGACGTTCGGCTCGACCACTGCCCTAATTACAAGCATGCAAAGTGTGTTGTTTGTCTAACCAGAGAATGGCAGACATGCGCATGCATACGTTAAGATCACTGACAGCAAGCGCTCGATAGGAAATTAATCCTTATGCAACAGAATCCGGCCCAATTCGGTGGAAGAAAAATGAATAATCAATGCAGATGTGTGCTTCATGAATATGCACAGTTATCAGTTAGCTGCTCGACAATATACGTGAGATGGAAAGGGTTGGGTGACTTAATCGAAGCTTAGAGAAGTTAA